CTCGCTAAAGCCCTCTATTCCAGTCCTCTTTCTCAGCACTCTCTCCCTCCACCCACTCCCCAACCTGATCCCTTGGGTTTCCATGCTCACCTGCCCCGAGTTCAACCAGGAGATCTCTATTTCCCCTTCCCTGCAAAATCCACGTGTCCCCCTCTTGGGCCCTCCTTGTTACATAGCCTCTCTATGGATTGTAACATAGTTATCCTTTAATTTACAGCTAATACCCACTTATGAATGACTACATACCATGTTTTTCTTTCTGGATCAGAGTTACTTTACTCAGGAGGATTTTTTTCTAGTACTACCCATTTGCCTTCAAATTTCCTGATGTCGTTGTTTTTAACAGCTGAGTAATATTCTATTGGGTAAATGTACCACATTTTCTTTACCCACTTCTTGGTTGAGGGACATCTAGGTTGTTTCCAGGTTCTGGCTATTAAATAAAGCTGCTTTGAACTTAGTTAAGCAAGTGTTCTTGTGGTATGATTGAGCATTCTTTGGATATATGCCCAGAAGTGGTATAGCTGTGTCTTGAAGTATCCCAATTTTCTGAAAAAAATTGCCATAAAGATTTCCAGAGTGGCTGTACAAGTCTTCACTTTCACCAGCAATGGAGGAGAGTTCCTCATGCTCCACATTTCTCCAGCATAAGTTGTCATTGGTGTTTTCAATCTTAGCCATTCTGACAGGTGTAAGACAGTATCTCAGAGTCATTTTGATTTGCATTTCCCTGATGGCTAAGGATGATGAACATTTCTTTAAGTGTGTCTTGTCCGTTAGAGATTCTTCTGTTGAGAATTCTCTCCTTAGGTCTGTACCCCATTTTTAAATTGGATTATTTGATTTTTTTGGTGTCTACTTTCTTGAGTACTTTATATATTTTGGAAATCAGGCCTCTGTCAGATGTGGGGTCCTATTGACGGTGTCCTTTGCCTTACAGAAGCTTTTCAGTTTCACGAGGTCCCATTTATTAATTGTCAGTCTTAGTGTCTGTGCTACTGGTGTTCTTTATTATTATTATTAATTAAATTTTTTCATTTATTTTATATCCTGATTGCAGTTTCCCCTCCTGCCTCTCCTCCCATTCCCTTTCCCTACCATTCCCATCCACTCCTCCTCTGTTTCTGTTCAGAAAGTGACAGGCCTTCCTTTGTGTTAAGGCTGGGTGAGGCAATTCAATATGAGGAGTAGGTTCTCAAAAGCCAGCCCAAGTGTCAAGGACAGACTGATCCCACTGACACACATATGTAGAGGGTCTAGGTTGGTCCCTTGCAGGTTCCCCAGCTGTTGGTCCAAAGTCTGTGAGCGCCTATGAGGCCAGGTCAGCTGTCTCTGTGGGTTCTTTTGTTTCCTTAATGTCCCGGGCTCATACAATCCCTCCTCTCTTTCTTCAGCAGGATTCCCTGAGTTCAGCCCAGTGCTTGGCTGTGGATCTCTGCATCTGTTTCCTTAAATTTGTGGGTTTATGTCTGGGTCTTGGATTCAATTCCATTGATCAATGTGTCTGTTTTTATGCCAGTACCAAGCTGTTATTATTACTGTAGCTCTGTAGTAGAGCTTGAGATCAGGGATGGTGAAACCTCCAGAAGTGCTTTAATTATACAGGATTCTTTTAGCTATACTGTTCTTTTTATTATTTACATCATATTATACCTCTTTCTATAAGCATGTAAAAGTGTTTAGCTTTGATTTCTGTAAAATTGGGCATGTTTTAAAATTCCTCCTTTACTTTAAATATATTTTTCATTGTTTATGTTGGATGAGCACACCAACAGTTTTTATTAAATGTGCTATTTTGATGTAGTTTACATTTCGTTTTACCGAAACCCTCTACCCCCTACAGTCCAGAACATTCTGTGTTTCTAGTAAGTCAAGGATGGCAACAATTCTTGGTAGTTGAGTCCTGGGAATCATTTTTGGTGTTTGTTAAGATGATCATGTTTCTATTGTATAATTTATCCTACTTTGTAACTGTTTCATCTATGTTCATGGTGCATCCCCTGTTCCTGTGCACAGTAAGATGATCCTCGAACACCCACTACCTCTTCCACACTGGTAACAACATGCCAAGCTTTCGGGTTAGGTCCTCTCTCAGCCTCACTTCTACCCACCCTGTAAGTCTATAAAGATGGATGCCATGCTCTTGCCCCCCCTACACACACCAGAGTGCTTCTGAAAGACATTTTTTATTGTTTGTGTTCTTTTTTTTTCTGTAAAAACAATGTTCTTTCCTCTTTCCTGTGTCACTGGCTTCACTGGGCCAGGGGCTTGGCAGTTGCCTTTTGGATCTTTCTCTCTCACATTGTGTTTACACCAACAGGAGATGAGGTAAAGACCTCATTGGGGGTTTGCTAATAAGCCTTCCCAGGGTGTTGTGCATCTCTTGCTGCAGCCTACTGCCCTACTTCAGCACGTGTGTTAGGTAGACTGGTGACCTGGTTACAGGATGTCACCTGTTGTAGCTGGAGATTTCTCCAGTCCTGCCGGGGCCCACAGCCACTCAGACCCAAGTAAACACACAGAGACTTATGTTACTTACAAACTGTATGGCCGTGGCAGGCTTCTTGCTATCTAGTTCTTCTATCTTAAATTAACCCATTTCTATAAATCTATACCTTGCCACATGGCTCTTGCTTACCAGTACTTTACATCATACTTCTCATGGTGGCGGCTGGCAGCATCTTCTCACTCAGCCTTCCACTTCCCAGAATTCTCTGCTCTCCTTATCTCGCCTACACTATACTTCCTGCCTGGCTACTGGCCAATCAGTGTTTTATTTATCAATCAATCAGAGCAACACCTTCACAGCATACAGAAAGATATCTCCAGTAACCTGTCCTCCCTTTTGTCCCTCACTATCCATCTCCCTGTGGTGCCTTTGCCAGGGTTTCAGGTTATTGCTGTGGCCCAGGACTTCCTGGGCAGTAGAACACTGGCAATCCTCCAGTTGTGCTACTCAGGCTACATTTGTCTGTACAGATTTTAAGAGGACCAAGCAGATGCTATAACAGGCTGTTCAGTCTTCTCTCAGAGATCAGGCCTCAATTTCAGTTTCCTGAGACTTAAACAAGCAGTTTCTGGGAGGGGCATGAACAAAAGACACAGTCCTTGCAGTAGTTCCTTTTCTGCATGTACTCTGACTATTCAAGGTTCAGCCAGTTGCTTACTGTCTGGGACCCCTCACCAACTTAGAGCTACGTGCATGGGTCAATGTGAATGTGCTAGGCCAGCCTGCCTCCATGGCAGCTCAAGGACAGAGCCTGGGCCACTGAGTCAGCCCCCACAGTCAGTACATGCAAGGTCAGCCAGACTCCATAGCAGCTCAAGGACAAAGCCTCGGACTTGTCCAGGCCTGTCCCAAAATGATAACTGTAACCCCCAGCCAGTAAATTCAAAGGTTACACACCCTCGCCCAATCATATGAGGCAAAGGCTTGTACCACCCTGTAGCACGAATCTTAAAAGTTCTTATTAATAAAAACAAACCTGGAGCCAGGTATTGGGGTGAATGCTGGAAGATCAGAGAAGCAGAACAAGCCACAGCTACCTCACCTTGCCAGTTCCTCAGCTGATCCTGTTTCCTCAGACTGGAAGCCTCTGAGTCCTCATCCAAATGGATCTCAGCTGAACTGTTGCTCAAAAGCCTAAAAGCTTAGCCAGGCTAGTTTCTGGGTTTCATGCCTTTTATACCGTTCTGCCGTCACTTCCTGGGATTAAAGGCTCTTGTTACCACACCTGGCTGTTCCCAGTATGACCTTGAACTCACAGAGATACAGATGGATTTATGCCTCTGGAGTGCTAGGATTAAAGGCGTGAGTGCCACCATTTTCTGGCCTCTATATCTAGTGGCTGTTCTGTTCTCTGACCCCAGATAAGTTTATTAGGGTGTACAATATTTTGGGGAACACAATATCACCACACCACCCTGCTTGCAGTTTTTCTTTTTAAAAACCCCTCACCCTGAGAGTTCAGGCCCGTTCACCTGCTGTGCCAGAGTGTTGGACACAGGCCAAGCCCAGGCTCGCTTTTTATCAATAAACCCCTGAGTATTTGCATCGGACACTGGCTGTGTGGTGGTCTTGCTCAGGGGGGTCTCCCGATGTGGCCACATCAATTTACCAATGTGAAATCATTTAAATTACTACTAACCTCACCATGCTGGTTCTATACTCCTTCGGATTTCTGTTGCTGTGTTTTGAGACAGGCTCTCACTCTTGCATGGGCTGGGCTTGAACTCACCTGCCCTTCCCATGGCCCAGCTTTAGGAGTCCTGTGACTATAGGCCTGAACTACAAGCTCAAAGTTACACTGACTACATAGAATGAGCTAGGATTATTCCCTCCCCATCAACCTTCTAGAATAATTTGTGTAAGCTCGGGATGAGCTTTCCTTACAAAGTTGAGGCTCATCTAAAACCATCATAGATGGATATTCTCTTTGTTCTCAGCTGACTGTCCACTTCATATTTGTGATGCAGTAGGACACATCAGCCTTTCAGTTGCTTCTTGCTTTTCATTTTTTTTTTTTGGTAAATTAATCTTTTGGGATTTGTATATATGATCAAGGTTTCAAATTTATTGGTATAAATTCCATATTGTCTACTTAGACCCTCTGCTTTCTTGTGCATTATCCCCAGGCTTCTCTCAGATTCTTTAGATTTCTAAATAATCTACTTTCAGCTTCGATGGTGATTTTTATTTATCTTACATTCTATTTATCCAACTGTTTTGCCTTTGTGTTTCCTTAATTTTTATCATTTATTCTTCTTAAAAAGTATTTTGGTTTATAAATTTGCCTTAAAGTGCAGGTGTTACTCCTCATGGTTGCTATTCAGATTTTTTCCTACTTTAATGATATTTTTTATGTATTCCTTGAGATATATTTTGAACATCTTTATTCCCTCCCCCAACTCCTCCCAATTGCTCTTGGGAGTGGAGCCTGCCCTGTAGTGTGGCCCACCCTCTGGGGATCTAATCATTAAAGAAAACTGGCTCTCTCTTTGCCAGCTGCTACTCAATGCCGACAGATCCCAGCTCGGGGAGGGGTTCCACACTCACCTTCCTGTACTCCATGGTGGGGTTGCATCTTGCTTGGGCTTGCACAGGTCTGTGTGTGCTGTCACAGCCACTGTGGACTCAGATGGGCACCACCCTGTTGTGTGCAGAAAACACCTTTTCCCAGAAGGTACCCACTACCTCTGGATCTTGCAGTCTTTTGCCATCTTCTGGGAAGATCCTTGATTCTTGGGGGCAGTGGTTGAGATGTACCTCCCATTTAGGGCTGAACATTCCATAGTCTCTTATGCTGGAGAGAGGACCCGGTGGTTATGAGTGCCTCCTTCTCTTGCGACATAGTTTTTAAAGTTAGCATTCAATTCTCGTAATTTTCCATTTCCTTCTCTTCTTTAACCCAAGAGTACTTAGGAGGAATATTTTAAATTTCACAAATGTCATGGACATTTGTTCCTTTCTGTGCTCTGACTTCTAAAATGCATTGATTATTCAGGTGGGGGCTGGGCAGGCTGTGGCCAGCAAGAGGTGTGTGTATTTTGTGGAAACATCCTTTGCTGCCCCACATGTGATCAACTTTTATATAGGTTTTCATTGATTAACAAAATGTATTTTTATTTCTCCTGTGTCTTCAAAATTTCTGTAGTTCTGATAGTCAGAGAGGAAGATATGCTTCAGTCCCCATTAAGATGGAGAATCTGCCACATTCTCTCAGTTTTACAGGCCTTTGCTTTCCATTTCTGAGGCTTTGTTAAATGGTACAACTGGATTAAGAACCATCTTCCTGGGGGTTAAAACTTTTATCACTGGGTAGGGAATCTTTTTGTGTAACATCTATGTTATCTGACTAAGGTTGGCGTGTCTGTGCCGTTATCTCTGCTCTCTTTTGGTTTATTAGGATCTAGCATGCCATTTTTTATCCATTTATTTCCTCATTGCTCACATCTTTTTCTTTGGGGTATACTGTTGCAAACATCTTATCGCCAAATTTTATTATATTTATTCCACTCCATTTTCACCTTTTAAATGAGTTTAGTCCATTTACATTTATCATTACTATTCTGTGTTGATATGTTTACTGTTTCTTCTATTTTGCTGTTTTTCATCCTTTTTATGATATTTTATGATTCCTCCCCCATTTGCTTTTATTTTTAAGTGAACATTTATTTTCTGATTCCATTTTCTCAACCCAAATGAGCTAGATTTTATTTATTTTACATCTATTTTAGACAGCCATCCTTAGGACTATACTATGAATAATTAATGAACTCTACAATTCTTCTCAATATAGGATTTCTAATTTGACAACAATTCTTCATTACCATTCTTGAGTATGGTCTTAAGTTATTCTGTAATGCTAAATGACCTCAAAAATTTCTGTCTGAAGAGCTTCAGTCTATTTCTTTCTCACATTGCAGATCCGTTGTGATTTGATGGTGAGGGGGACTCTTTCATGTTCCTTGGCTTCCTCTAAAGGAGCCTGAGGAGACAGCTTCTGCCAGGAGCACTGTACTACAGAAGAGGCAATACTTGCTAATGTGGATGAAGGGGGCAAAGAATCTATTGAAAAGCAGCAGATATTGCCTGTGCCCACATTTCACTTGCCAGAGGAAGTCCAGCTTTCCCACAGAGAGGCTCTGCAGATATTCCCAAAGCAATCTGACTAGCTGTCCTACCCTCTTACTTACAGGGATCCCACTCATCACTCTTCCAGAAGAAACTATGCCAGACTTCACACAGCCTCTGCATGGGCCTCAGAGCTCGGGATCTACTGCTGTATCTTCTTTTCTCTCCCAGGTTTCCCAGGCATCAAGAATTCTGTGAAATGAAAGCACACTATAAACATCTACACTCAGAAGGAGTTCTACTCATAGCAACTCGTCTTCCACAGTAAATCTGAAAGCATTGCAGAGATAGCTAAAGAATCCCCTTCTCCGGAGTTGGAGAATATTTCTTCTTTGGTTCTAGGTCCATTGTCCCTAAAGCCTCTTCTCTGACTTCTGGGAGGTCCTTGCTGTCCCATGATTCCTCTCCACCTCCTTGAAGACATTATTATAAAGACTAAGCTCCTGACTAGGCCTCGTGATGTATGCTCATCATCTTAGCATGTGGGAGGCTAAGGAAAGAAGATTGCCATAGTTTTAATGTAGCCTGTACTAGAATACAGAGATTCTATCAAAACAAAAGAAAACGTGCAAACAAACAAAACCAAATAACCAGACAACCAAGCACATAAGAATGTGACCCCCTTGGGAGCCAAGCATCTTTCTCAAGCTTGCCTCCTATTCATAGACTGTGAGGGAAGAGTTAACTCAGTTTTGTTCAGTCAGAATCTTTTAGTTAAAGCTGATGGTCCAGGGACTGTGTCACTCACAAAAACTTCAGGCTTTTACCTTTCTGCTTTGTTGTTGGCTCCATGTGCAAAGAGCAATGTCCCAAGTTATTTCCAAGGCATGGATATCTGCAGCCCAATGGACTTCTGTGGAAGAACCAAGTCTGTAGCCTCAGCTCAGTAAGTCCTTATGCCCAACCTGGTTTATTCACTAGGGATTACCTTATTCATAGGTTTTAACCTCAAAGTTATCAGGTGTAAAATATCATGACTTTATTCCAAAGCCAAACTTTGAAGTTCTTCCTCTTGAAAAAAAGATTGAATATTGATAAAATTATATGATGAGTCTTCTGCATTGTTTTCCTTCTTACTGATTTCTTATATATTTATATATTATATATATTTCTTATATGTGTATATATACATATATATATATATATATATATATATATATATATATATGCTTCTTTCTGGATTGCTTCATACACATCTATCCAAACATGTGGATATTATTGCTAAACCACTCAAGAGTAAGTTACAGTGATATTAAATCTTAGCAATTACACATGGAATGAAGGCACTTTCCTATAACCGTGTCATAACAATCCAGTTCAGACAATTTAACATAGCTATAACAGTCTGATGTATTATATAATTTATATTCATATTTGTTCAATTATTCCAACAGTACCATTTATTATTCTAACCCAGGATCACAGACTGCATTTAGTTGTCATATTTCTTTAGTGTCTTTTTCTTCAAGGATTTTGAGATTTTTTTCAGAGTATAGGTCACCTGTTTTGTTGAATACCCATCAATCAAGTTTTGTCTGGTGGTTTTAGCATTCTTATAGCAATGCTGCCTGAATGAGGTTGAGTCTTTCCAACAGCACATGGAAGGGTGCTAAGAATGTTCACTGATACTGAAAAGCACTTAATATTAATTAGCCTTTTGTTATTCAAAAGATTAGCGATGGGCACCAGATGTACCTCTCAATTTATGCTCCTATAATTCCTAGACTCCCGTTCCTTTCACTTCTGCAAGCTGGCACCTCTTTTATGAGTGTGCTTCTTTATTCTGGTGCCTTGGACATAGCCAGTAACAACTAAGATTTGCTATTAGCACCTGCTTCTCATTATCTTTGTCTAAAGCCATCGGTTCACTTGCTACATCATCTGCTCTCCAGGTTACTAGGGAAACAGTTTGACCAGATGCTTCACTACTGTATAACAGGCACACCATTTTCCAGCTTCAACCTATCATATGCCACTGCCTGGTCCTGAAGCTGATGCCATGTGTCTTGGGTTCCACTGCCCGAGTGGCACTTAGTCCTGTTTATCTCTATCTGCATCCTTCACCTTAAGTGAAGATATGCTGTGGTATGAAAAGATTGTTGGATGTGCCATCTACATATTTTAAAATTAATACAACCCAAAGACTGTAGAAGTTGTGAGAGGAAGCCCTGATAGACTTTTTGAGAGAGTTTGACCTCTGTGCCATTCTATTAAACAATTTTATCAGTTAGAGTCTATCCTAAAAAATATTTGAACTTATGCACAAAGTGTATATGCAAAATTATTAATTTAGCACTGTTAAATTAATATTTGTATGGTGAAAATCTGGACAACACTTGAAGAGCTCTCTGTGGGGAGATGATAAACAATGGTGTAATCACATGATGGATACGTTCATGGGCATGAAACATAATACTGCATCCCTGTGTGTTCTACAACATCAGCTTTTCTACATCTTGGGTTCAGTAGAAATGTAGAAAACAATGGAAGTGTACAGACCTTTAATATAGTTCCCCTTAAATGAAAACAAGAACTAAACACATGTATTTCAACACATACAGAAAATGTAAATGGAATCTGATCAGGAACAGTATGCAATAGGTGACTAAGCCATGTTTACTTCTGCAGAGAAAGGTGGAAAGTGGGGGCAGAGGCTGGTCAAAGGAGACACAAATATTTGATTCAATAGATGACTCCTGTTTCTACATTTGGTAACACATTATTTTATTTTATTGCTTAGATTAATAAACGAAGTAAGTTCCACAGTGTGCCACAGAAGTTCATAATGATGTGTAAAAGCCACGAGAAGCTTAAGGTGACAGAAAGAATGGGAAGATGCAGAGCGCTCGTGATCACTGCCATCATACAGAAAATAAACATCAATTCATCATTCAATGATTGCTGCAGATGGAATGGGATACTTGTGGGATGTAATTGATTTCACAGTCATGGGGCTTGGGGGTGTAAATCCAAAGCTTCATAAAATCAAAAGACATTTCATTTTGATGGATTTTCATCTAGAAGTGTCAAAGACAGCTCTAATTTCTTATATAAAGTGACTGTATCTTGAAGGGTATAATTGTTAGGTTGAGCACTAGTAACTGGACAGGCTCCTGGGAGCACCTGGGTTTGATTATTGTTTTGCTTCACTTTCAAACATACTCTGGCACTCGTGAGAGGGTAGTATCCGCTACGCCTGACTCACCCTGACTTCAGCAAGCAGAGCATTGTCTTAAAAACTTTCAGCCCAACTACTGACTTTTCTAAGTTCCCAAGAAGTTGAGAAGACGGAAGTACTAGGTTTTAAATATTTTGTGCCATCTTTTACAAAACAAGCACACACAATCTGCCCTACTTCTAAAGGTCAAAGGAAGTCACCTGCCATGTGTGGGATGCATGACCCTCTTCTGTGATTAGAACCAAGGGATTATCAGAAACATGTTGTACAATGCTCATATTTATTACAGTGAGACACCCTCACCTATTATGGAAATGCCATATGTGTTTTTTTTTTTAATTCTTTTTCAAGCCTTGGGCTAAGTTCCATAATGGTCTGTGATGCCATCCTGAACTGACAATAAACAAATGTAACCCTGAAATTAACACAGTTTTAGGAAAGTATGTGTTCATTTGTGTTCACTCAGATGCTGACACAGAAATTTTAGTGCAGGTACTTATCTGGGATATAAGGACACCTGTAGGGGCATAAAGGTATCAGAGAGAAAGGAAGGAGACTCTAAAGAGTGTAGTAGATTGAAAATAACCCCAATTATTGGAAATAAGTCTATTTCTCTACCCCTTGAATCCTGGCTCCTGTGACTTCTTTGAGTTAATGAATTGTTGTAATGTCTTAGTTTATATTTTCTGTCAAAAACAGATTAAGGGAGAGAAAGCTTGTTTTGGCTTCAATTCCCAAGGGGACACAGTCCAGTGTGATTGAGAAGACATGACCGCAGGCAGAGGAGGCATGACCGCAGGAGCAGAAGACTAGCTGGTCACATTGCATTAGCACTCAGGAAGCCGAGTTAACTGGAAGTGGAACTTGGCTATACAGCCTCAAAGTCCACCCTTGTGACCCATCTTCTCTAGCAAATCTCTATCCTCTAAAGAGTCTACATCCTTCCCAAGTAGTGTCACCAGCGGGGGGTCGGGGGGGGGATCCAGTGTTCACACACAGGAGGCTATAGTGGACATTTCCAACTTCAGACAACTATAGGCAGCTATGGTCATTTGAATAAGAATGGCCCCTTATATGTTCCTACATTTGAATGTTTGGGTCCCAGTTGGTGGATGGCTTAGGAAGGATTAGGATGTGTGACCTTGTTAGAGGAGGCATGTCATTGTGAGTGGATTTCAAAAGCCCACACCAGACCATCTTGCCATCTCTGCCTCAGCTTTTGAATCAGATGTAAGTTCCTAGCTACTGCTCCAGGTTGTTCCTGCCTGGCTGCTACCATGCTCCCTACCATGATGGAAATGGACCAACCCTTTGAAGCTGTAAGCAAATCCCCAAAACATGCTTTCTGTTACAAGTTACCTTGGTCATGGTGTCGCTTCACAGCAGCAGAATAGTAACTAAGATGGCAGTGGTACTGGGACTAGCTCTCTAGAGACCTTGTTATTTAACCCCTTGTCTTTGGAAGTGCTCTGAGAGCATTGTGGAAAGAATCACATACCAGCCTCTTCTAGGGTGAGACCATGTAGAACACAAATGAGTCATTCTAGCTAGAGGTACCCATGGAAACCTGCAGTCACATGATCCTCCAACTGACTGTAACAAAATGACTAACCCCAGATGGAACCAAAAGAAATGTCCTGCTAAGCTCAGCCAAAATTGGTAACCCACGGAACACAGGCAAATAAAGTAATCATGCCTTCACTGCTGACAGCAAATGACCTGAGTTTTCTACACAGGAAAACTGTAAAACTGTAGAAAGTGTGATCCGACCCAAGGGTAAGGGAAGTGGGGTGCTGACTCACCAGCTCCTGAGGATCGCCCATGGAGAAATGTCCCTGTCGTGAATTATCTAGCTCTACTTGCCTGTTACATGACAAGCTAAATATCTTCTCTGGTCCTGGAAAGGAATTCACAATCAAAATATTCAGGTCCTGGCCGGTGACAGCCAACCAGAATACACTGAAAGGTTTAAAGAACAGGAGCTGAACATGGAGAGGAAAGGGTACTAGCTACT